CTACATTTCACCCGCAAGTTGCGCAAACCCATTTTGTTGCTTTACTCGCAATCACATCTTAACACTGTGGCCCCACAGGCTCCGATCATTCGCAGTCATGCATCTGTGACCGTTCTCATATCCGGACACACTGAACGTGTGTATACGCAGTCCATTTCAAGCCCGAGCGTTGGTAAGTCGCCCTAGCCCTTAGACTGCGCAACTTGTGGGCTCAAACACAATGCTAATCGGGTGTCGCATTGCCGTGTTAGCTGCCCCTCTCCCACTGGTGCCGTGCGCAAAGCATGCTTTTACTTACATTGTAGTCCACTTACGCCCACTCAACCTTCAACCAAGCCGCACCACGTGAGTTTGACAACTTTGGGCTTCTTATCTGCGTGGAACTAGCTTCACAGTAGCCAATCGCTGCTGAGTAGTTAGAACGCCCACGCGTTTCCCCCGCACACCTTCAACCTAAACTATCCATGCGAGGATTATCACACCTACTGTCATTGGTTGATTTGGGCTAGCTGAATTCCAGGACAGTGCAGCGTAGTGCGTCGCGAAGACGCCGGATGGAATTCAGGCGCGTTAACGACCAAGTTCCATTCGGTTACGGACGGAAGTCAGATGCATATGGAGCGACTCAATTTCACTGTGGATAAAATCTATCCGATGGTGTAGTTTACAGATGCACCTCCATCTCCTCAACTGAGCAATTTACTTTACCGCGTGCCCTACTGCATTCTTTAAGCAACACTTAAAAATGCTATTTTATTATTTGTTTCCGCATGTAAAGGGAAGCATTTGTCATTTACTGTCACCCCACACTACGGATGTCTTATCCATTATGAGATTCTTCGAAGTCGGAATGCTTTGAGCGTCAACGTAGACAAACACTAAATGTTGTGCACTTGTGCCTACGTATTAGTCGTCTCTAACGGAAGGTACACCACCTCATACAGCTGACCATCGAGTGCCAGCCACCCTCATCTATGTGGTTGAACATACGCGACAGAATATCGATTAATCATTGTCAGTTGGACCGTTTCAGACTTACAGTATACGTTTGGAGGAGGCTACACATTCCAATGAACACAAATGCTGACGAGGTTTTCGTTTTTACTGTTCAATTTCACGCATCTCGTACCTGAGTTTACTGTGCGCAATCAACCGAACCGATTAATGTGTGTTGTATGTTGCTGTCACTACATGCGGCTTTGTACGCATTCAAAGGTTGCACACCACTGCAGAAAGTTCGATTAATCGGTGTGCATCGTAGGTATTTCGGTTTAGTGGTATTTTTAATTGTGCGAATACAAAGTGCAGTTTCTGTAATTGCCCCATCGAATGATCTTTTACGTCGTTGTACAACCTGGATCGGCCGTTCCGGAGAAGACATGAGGGGGTCTACTAGTCAGCCGTCCTAAATGGCACTCTTGCTTTCGTGTAATCAGCACCGATATCTCACAGCTGTTTCGTGCGTTTGCTTTACATTGATCCTTTCCAGTACGCCCATGGCGTCGTCCGGTAGAATGTACACGTTATGCTCGCTCATCTTGTACTTCAACGCATTTACTCTGATCTTGTTTTTGCTAGCTCATCCACTCATGGCGTATATTATTTAAATTGTAGAAGCTTCTCTCTTATCCGAACCTTTTTGGATTACGTTTGTGAAGTCTCCAACGATCAATACACAGTCCATTTACACGGACGAGAGATTCAACTTCTTGAGTCATGTGGTTTATATGGTGATTTCCACCTTGAAGGTATTGTACCTTATAATTTAGGCGTTAATTCAGTGTCGTTACCATTTTGTTACATACCCATCGTGTATTATTAATCCATGTATGGACCCGTAGTCTGTTTAAACGTAGGAGAAGCACCAACCCCGAATAGTACGTGTGAAGCGGTAATCCGCTCTTAACCGGAACCATGTAAACGCATATGGGACCATGAAACCAATGAAAAACAGAGACCAATCAGCGAATGCACTATAGTCATATGATTGGGCACGTTTAATTAGTGAGCTTAACATGACGCATCGGTTGTGGATGTCCGTAACATCCCACCACATAGCCGATATAATCATGGTTGCAAAATTTTGCGTTCTGTTAGTCTGGGTGGACGTCTTGGCCGTCGAACAGCGATCGGTTGATCAGCTTCATCCATTTGTTTTTGTCAGTTGTCTCCGTTTATTCCATATTAACTGTTCCATCCTCGGAGTCTAATACTGCGGATGCCCGAAGCCGAATAAAGTTGTTGTGTCAACGTACGGTTGCTCCGGGTTCCGGCTGTATAGCAACTTCCGTTCGTGAACTGGCCACTACGGTTCCGGGCTGCCATATTGGCTTATGTGGGAGTTTCATATGTACATTCTGTTTCGGTAACAGACTCTGGGCTTTAGCGCGTATGTGTCCACTCTGGTGCACTCGCTTTTGTTTGAAACGCCTGGCTTGACGGGGGTCTGGAAATATTATATTTAATCTTGCGCTTAGCCGACGCCTAAACATTGCCTCCCCATGATTTTTGCCCATGGATACCAAGAGTGTGACACGATAAGTGAACATGAGTCGATCTAGTCTGACACTCAGAGATTCTTGGCTTCGCTTCAGGAGACTGGCGTTCACGCTTTGTACCGCTCTCTCTGCCAAATCATTGGATGCTGAATCATATGGTGCAGAAGTCATATGGTGAATGCCGTTACTTTGTAAATGTTGTTCGAAAGCTGCACTCGTAGTTTGTGAACCGTTATCTGTAGCTCAAGTTTTTAGGCTAGCGCGCCCTTTAATAATTGTGGTCTCCGAAGTAGTGTTAGGGGCACTATCTACATCTATCCATTTTGAGTACGCATCCACCAGGAGTAGTAACATATTTTCCTCAATCGGACCGAAATAGTCTTCATGAACACGCTCCCATGGGCCGTCAGGTAGCTTCCAGGAGTGAACCGGTCCGGCTGGTTTGTCTTTCTGGTATTGTTGACATATATAGCACATGTGTTCAACAGAGCTTCGATATCTCGATCAATTGCCGACCACCAACAGTAGGTTCTGGCCAGAGCATTCTTGCGGACAACTCCTGAATGAGCATTATGTAATTCTTCCAATACGGCTGCTCTGAGAGCAGACGGAATAACGGTACGAGATGTACACATGCTACATCCTTCATGCAGACTGGGCTCTAGTCCGCAATTAAAAAACGGACCTAGGACCTCAGCGTATCGGGAATTCCAACCGCCTAACATCATACGTTTCACAGTCGACAGGACCTTGTCTTGGTCTATAGGTCTCATAACCATATCGCTAAATATTGGAATAGTGTCTAAATGATGTAATATCTAGACGAACTCGCAAAGCGCTCCATCTTGCTCGTTACTTTGCACTTCCTGTGACAATCTACTGAGGGTATCAGCTACACTACTGTGGGAACCAGAGATGTATCGAATTCGATAGTTGTATGCGGAAAGGATGAGTGCCCATCGTATCGTATGGGATGCATTAATTTGTTCTATACATCCTCCCTCACCAAGCAACGGAAGCAATGTCTTGTGACCTATCTGTATCTCAAACCGATTGCCCCACATGTATTGATGGAAACGCTTAACACAAAATATCACGGTCGGTGCCTCTTTGTCAAGCTGCGCGTAATTCTCCTCAGCGGCCTGTAGTGTTCCAGATGCGAAAGCACTAAGACAGATGGTTCCATCGTGAATCTGATGTCTAAGAACTGCTCCCACTCCAAACGAGGAAGCATCACATTGTAAGACAAGAGATTTGTTAGGATCATAATGCACTAGTACAGGTGAAGAAACAGGTTGATTCTTCGCCTTCAAAAATGCTTGTTCCTCTTTTCTTGTTCATGACCACTTATCATCTTTCTTAAACAAATCATGAAGAAGTGCGATCACAGAGGCCAGGTTAGATAAAAAACGACGGTAGTGTGGAAGCATCCCAAAGAACCAACGTAACTGTGCTTCGTTGTGTGGACTGGATGCACTAATGATGGGCTCCAGCTTATCCTTTCGTGCATGTAATCCATTTTTATCTGGTCGATATCCAAGACAATCAACGGAATCAACTAGGAAAGCACATTTGGAACGCTTCAAATGCAACCCGTTTTCTGACAATCTGTGTAGGACCTTATCCAGACTGCGTAGATGGTCTACTTCTGTTATGCCCATGATTAGTAGGTCATCAAGATATGCACAGGTATTCGGTAGATCCCGTACGACTTTGTTGATTATACTTTGTAAAATCCCCGAGGCAGAGTTAATTCCAAATAGGAGTCTAGTGTATTCAAATAAACCCAAACGTGTGTTAGTCGTAGTAGACGGGCGAGAATTGCCGTCCAGTTCCACCTGGGAATAAGCGTGACTGAACTCAAGTTTAGTGAACTTGACCCCACCAGATAAAGTGGCATATAAATCTTCAATTTTTGGTAAAGGGTAACTGTCCATGATAGTGCAGCGATTCACCTCAAATCCGCACACTGCCGTCTGGCTTAAGCACAGGGACTGTCGGTGCTTCCCATTTGGGTTGTTGAACCGGTACGATTGTACCTTTGTGCTGGAGCCGTTTCAATTCTTCCACAACCTTTGGCGTTATAGAATAAGTGTTCTAGCATTGATGAATTGTGGGGTACTAGCATCCGCCATATTGATTTTGGCTTTAAAATTGTTGAGCTTCCCCAACTGGTGTTCCTTAAATACCATTGGCTATCGGTTAAGGACCGAGTCTAGGGTTTCCACCTCCATGGAATTGTTTGCATTCCGCACCTGCGGTAACTGTTTCATCCAATCAGACCCCATTAAATTGCTTGATGCACAAGGGAAAACATGAAGCATTAAGTTGTGAGATCTCCCTTGATGCTGAACTAGCACCTGACATTTTCCCAGTTGGTCTATCACTAGGTTCTGAATTAGGTAATTGGGAAAGTCTATTCTGGTCTATTGATGCCACTGCTGAGCCGGTGTCTAATTCAAATAAAACAGACTGACCATTAACAACAAGCATGATAATATACCGAGGTACTTTGGTCATGTTTGAACAGTTCGCAAATACGTGGTTCATCAAGTTCAACAGTGAATCACATGACTCACCCTTTTCGTTCAACGATTTAGTTGAAACGGTACACACGAGCCAATTATTTAACTTTACCGCACTTCGTACGCAAGTGCGGACACTGGTAGTCCACAAAATTCCGCACAATATTCTCAGAGGAAAAAGATCAGGTTAGTTTGTTCAGTTTCTGCAGACTGGACTGGGTTGAAAGTGGACAACTTCATTTTCAGATGTTCCCTCTCTTGAACAGTGTTGCAAGACGTTTTCCAAGAAAGAGTCTTCTTCTTCCTGGAATAAAAGTTTTTCTCTTGATCCGTCATCTATAATTCCAGCTATCAGGCACTGAATTTTCATTACTTTTTCGAAACGCGTCGAATGGATTATGTTGTAACGACACTTGCAGCTTGGTGAATGCGTGCGAGAAAATCGTTCATGCCTTCTCCGCGTTGTTGCTGTAACTTCAGCGCCTGAGAAGGCGCTCTGCTGAATTCCCCATAATTCCTCAACTAACTGAATCACCTGTGAAATCCTAAATTTAATCATTAGGTTCATTGCATCGAAATGTCCTTGTCCTTCGGAATCAAGTGTCTGGAGGAACAACATAATCCAATGGTTATTTGATAGTGTGATGGAAAGATTCAACACAGGGAAGAGAGTCATCTGATTTTGAAGCGAAGTTTTCCATTGAATTCATGCTTGTAAGGAAGGTTTTTCTGACGTCTCCAACCAGAGAAATGAGACCCGCAAGTGGGTTCGTGTTGCCCGTCGCCATTTTGTTACGTGCCGATCGTGTATTATTAATCCATGTATGAACCCGTAATCCATTTAGACATAGGAAAAGCACCAACGCCGAATAGTACGTGTGAAACGGTAATCCGCTCCTAACCGGAGCCATGTGATAACATATAGGGCCAAAGGTACCGATGAGAAACAGAGACCAATCAGCGAATGCACTATAGTCATGTGATTGGGCGCGTGTAGTTAGTGAGCGTTGCATGACACATGGATTGTGGACATCCGTAACAACCGACAACCGATTACAAAACCTCTTGATTGCTCATTAGGCACTCAGTACCGAGTAAGCTCAACTTTTGGTTGTACCGATGACGTTGCACTCCCCTGACAATTGGCGACTGAACGGGGAACTATAGCAGCTTGTAACAGTTCTGAGATTTCCGAGGTATAGCTGAGTCAGTTACCTAACATCCAACTTAGAATAGTTGTATCATTTTTCTCTACGTCGACTATGCGGGATCTTAGCCTTCGTGTTGAGTTTGTCTATTACACATGCATTTGATGTCACATTTGGATTTCATACATAGCTACGGAATTCACTGCACAGTAATCCATACTATGGTAACTATCGTTTTACAACAATATCACATCAGTAACCCAAACGCGGCAAGTTTCCTTAAATGGCTATCAATCGCGGTGCCACCAAGGTTGTACAGTTGACCGCAATCTCAAAAGCTAGTGGTCTCGACGAATTTTCCTAGCTGCATTACTCGACTAGTTCCCGATCAACAGTGGGTTGTGTGCGGTTCGGTTTCAAGACTCAACAGACATCGTGATGAGAGGCACAATTTGTTTATCATTTTTGCCTACGCTCCAACCGACTGCAGCTGTGCATCAGTTAAGGATTACTTTTATCCTGTACTCCACAACCTTTTAAACAAGGCCGAAAAGTCAGATGTCGTTGTCCTTGCCGGAGATCTCAATACACGAGTAGGTCACCTCCTACCGTTCGACCGTCATCTTTGTTGCAGTCACGCGCTTGATGAGTCCTTCTGACAACGGCGATAGATTTCTCACGTTATACGAAGACCACCGTCTCTTTATCACAAGTACAAACTTTAGGCATACCAGAAGACTGTAGCCACCTGGCGTCCTCTTTCGCCAACGCAAACGTGGTCACAAATAGATCACATCGAGTCAGCTTTTGATGGCGAGGCAGCGTTCGGGATTGTAGATCGATTTTCTCTACGTACCTCGATTCAGATCACACTTTGATCTGCTCGGACATCTGCATACGCTTCGACGGTTCCTCAGAACGAAAGAACCACACGCTCGACACCAACAGTTTAGCTGACCACTTCATTCGATCAGCTTAGCAAGCTTCTTTGTCGCATGCACTCATTAGTACTCCACCTCAAGACACAGAAACTCATTGGAGTTGCCTGCATGAAGAGATGCTGTCTTCCAGTCATTCAATCTGCGGAACCACAAGACGTCCCCTGAAGGGCTCGATTTCCGCACACTCTCTGGAACCGTTTGTTCGTCGTAGAGCTATCCCGACCGACTCAAATAGCGGTGCAATGGGCCGCATCCTCACCCAACAATTTAAACAAAGCCTGCGAGCTGATCGCGAAACTTGGTGGTCGCAGCGCGCCTTAGATATGGAAACGGCAGACCTTTCTGGAAATGTTCGCAAGCTCTTGCAGGTCATTCGGGCCACTGGTCACGAAAGTTCTGTTGTCAGTGAGGTTATCTGCGGGGTTGACGGAACCCTGATCACCAACTTACACAGGCTCATGGACCGGTGGGCTGAACACTTCCACATTCAATTCAGCTGGACTTCGCCGACGAGCCTAACGAGTATACCTAGTTACGCGCCTTTGAACGTCTCACTGGAACCACCCACATATGCTGAGGTCTGCCTTGAGCTCCGACGAAGCAATTCAAATCTGCTGGCCCAGACGGACTACCTCCAGAGCTGTTCAAGTTCGGTGGCGAAGCTATTATCAATCCGCTAACAGTTCTGTTCTCTAAAATCTGGTGTGAAGAAACGGTTACATCCCCTTAGGCCGAATCAATTATCAGTATGAATAAGAAACTTGGAACGATAACAGATGCAGAGTTTGCCAGAATTTCAAGCAAACTAATACGGCCATTCACATAAGAGTGAACATTTCTGTTAGGTCGTCACTTAATCTGCGCTGTTCCACGGCAAAACACAGTGGGCTTTTAATGCGTTCAGCATATGACTTCTCACGCTGGCCCTCAATCATATCAGTCGCCAATTTTTGTCCGATTTCTATTCAAAAATCATCCTTCTGTAGCTACAATGTCCAAACCAGTACACTGTTCTAAGCGGAGCCTACCACCACCTCATAATAGCGAAGGAAAATCTCAGGTTTAGTGTTACATACCACTCTCCTGAAACGGAATAGCTCCTGCCGCGCCTTGTTGAGTACGTGCCGACACTGTGTTGAAGGTTCAGTTATTCGCCGCATTGATACCCGGATCATCAACGCAAACCAACGTCAAGGTACCACCTGCAGTTTGTGCTGTAATCCCTCCGGCGCTGGAGGATAACAGTTATTATATTTTACATTAAGAAACAAGTCCCAAAAGGATGACCACCTGCCACAGAGCAGAAGCGTTATTATTGCCCCTGTTTACAAGATTCCCGTGGCTGTACCCACAGAAGCCGCAGATTTGAGTTACTGTGTGATAGCTCCTACCTTTGCTTCAGGTTACTGTTATATGTGTTTTTCTGTGTGAATTGTGCACCAATATTTTGCTTTTGGTGTATTTTTTTCAGCTGAGCACATTTAGTGGATATTCTCTGGCTAATTTCCCTGACCCCATTGTTGATCAAACTACCGTCTGTCTCCTTCTCCTTGCATTTTTTCTACCTTGTGACGTCGTCTAAAGCTACTTGTGGTTCGTGTTCGAAAGTTGTTGGACGTAAGGCTCATGTATTTCCGTGCTTCGGCTGCGGTTTTGTTCCCTATTTCGTGCATTAACTTATCTGTTGATGCGTTTCGAAACTCTATCGATATCCAACATCGGTTTTTCAGGTTATATGTGATAAATGTCGCGGTTCAAGACATCAAGATACAGAACGACCGCCACCGACTACAGGGAAACTACCACAAATAAATAAATAAACGGTTTATTTCTCTACGTTGCGGGGCACCGCCAACTGAGTGGCCAGCACTCTGTACAACACGATCACATAAAGTACTTAATTCTTCAGGTTTTGTATAACGGATCCCAATTGGGTGTACAGGAAGTTGGCAGTCTGACGATATCAGAGCGATCAAGAAACTGTGCAAAATAATGGATGCAGAGTTAGCTAAAATCTCAATTTACTTAATACGACCATCTATGGGACCGCACCCAGGGGATCTGCTTCTTTGTGGGGTATTTTGTATGATGCCTGGGATACTAGTCTATAATCAATGACACGTAAGAGACGTGTCAAATACAGAACTGTCTATAGCATTTCCCGCAAAGTTGCATAAAAATCCTAAATTTTGCAAAGAAGGCGTAAAATTTTGCAAAAAACTGCAAATTTTTGCAAAGAAAGTGCAAAATTTTGCAAAACACTGTGCGATTCGCCAATCGCTCTGAGCCAATCCTCTGACCTCAAGTGTATTCTCATTGGCCGGGTGCTAGGGTTTGGTGCGTAAGTTGTGAAGTGAACGCGCTGCCCGTTGACTAGGTGAGACTTGTGAATGAACCCCGAGTCCATGGACATGGGCGGTACTATGAGCAACTCTGCACTCCCCCGCACGTACGAAACGCTGGATCGTAATTGTTCTGAAAGCAATGAATGACCGGAACATAAGCGCACGACTGAAGGGATGTCTTTCATTCCAGCGTGGTCAACATGCCTTATGGTGTTTGACAGAGCATCCCGTCAGACGTTCGTGACCGAGTTCTGGATCCCCTCATCAACGGTGGCGACTCGCCAGTCGTGGCAACCGTGAACAATGTGAAATATCAAACTGCCTACTCCTGGATTTCTCGCTCTGTTGATCAGAAGCCGCATAATACGCAGGCGCGCGGTCGTAAGCGCATTCTGTCGGAGGAAGGGATTGTTGACACCCTGGAGAAGATCGCGAAGGACTCAACTCTAACACTACACGAAATGCAGAGTCCTAGTACGTGCCTATATGGATAAGAACATTTCAAAGTTTACAATCGCACGACACCTGGATGGCCGTTTGATGACTATGAAAAACACCTCTCAGACTCCAGAAGGAATGAGCAATAATCGAACCAAAGCGATACGTAAGGAGTTTGTTCAAAAATTTCTCGAACTTGAAAGGGAGGGAAAGTTTTTCATATGGATCGACGGAACAAACTTCAGCGTTTACCGCAAACGTACTCGTGCTCGGCCGCCCAGAGGAGTTAGGGTCTATGTCAAAGTAGTCAACAGTAGAAGCCTGAATTTGTATATCATTCGTGCGCTCACAATGGATGGAAACGTTTCGATGACTACCCGGAGAGGCTAATTCACTGGCCCCCTATCTCTCGAATGGCTGCGAGGCATTTTAGACATGTTGAAGCGAGAAGTGGAGCTCCGGCAATTGCTCGCATTGTGTGACAATGCACCATGTTACTGACGTTTGGAACCACTTGCGTCAGTCGAAGGATATGAAGGGGTTACCATTCTGTGATTGAGCCCATACTCCCCGTTCCTCAGTTCCATCGAAAATGTTTGTCAGGTGGTGAAGGCCCGAGTGAAGAATGAAATGCAAATGCAGTACGATGAACTTCTGCCCGGGGATCCCCAGAATCTCATGACGCAAATGGAATGGTGGTTGCAGATTCTGGAACGCACTGCCAGAACAGCAACCAGTGAGATCAGTGTTGCGGGATGTGGTAATGCGATCGACACATCCGTGTACATATTCCCGATTGTTTTAAAAAAATGACGTGCTTTGATTACATTTCCGGCTCATCACTTTAGACGTCTGATTGTATAGCGTATACCACCAAGAGCGGGTAGAGACACAAGGAAATACAAAGTCTCGGCGGAATATATATGCACGTACGTATGATTATACATTTGTACGGAGGTTGCAGCGATATCTTATGTCCAGCGTTAAGCAATGACATGGGACTGGCTTCCAATGA